TTGTTCTCATGTATTTCACTTAATCCCTGCCCCCCCCCCAATCTGTGCTACTAGGTGCGTTCCTCTAAGTCTTACTACCAACATGACCAAGTTGCGAAAACAAAGTCAAACAACTTCTATGTAATGAAAAGAGACTGCAACCACACAAAAGGCCACACCATCTTGGTCTTCATATCTTCAATATACCATATTGTTTGCAGATGGTATGAAGCCTCGGCATAGTTCGTTCATCACAGTTGATTAGGTTGGATGCCAAATTTAATGCATTAATTATGGTAGAACTATCAACCACATTTCTTTTTACCATCATGACAAAATAACCGTATTAGATACAAGGACGTACTCGTATATCGCATAAATGCATGCAATAAATTGTGTGTCTACATTGCGAGGAACGGGCTGGAAAAAGAGCACAACTTTCGAAAGTAGGGCAACGTGAAATAGAGCATGAAAGTTTGATTGGCTCAGGTTGTTGTCGCTAGGATGATTCCAGATGAGACCTACACGAACTGCAATGCCTGAACCCAAAACTCCTCACCTCATGTCAGTTAAAATACTGCAAATACGGACAGAATTGCTAGAAACAATCGATCAGCGAGGAGGGCAACAAAGTGGCCAAGGTGGACTTCGACTGTCTTAATCGTTAGCGGGTTCTGCCCTCGAGCCAGGTTGCCACCACCAACTGAACTGACAGGTAGTGCCTTCCAATTCCCACCGGTGCAATAATGAGGCCAGTTTGGGTGGAGGAGCAGCCAAGCTCTCAGGTTCTCGATTCGGTTTGGTGGCTCGAAAGCCAAGAGCCGGCCAGGCAGACTTGAGATGCTGGAAGGTGAACATTTGGGATACTCGACTCAGGATCGAGAGTCAGGGACAAATGGCTAACGTTGTGCGGATATCGTTTAAGGCCATCGGGATAGCTGGAACCATTAGGGGATCTTCATGCTGGACAGGGTCACTCGGACACTGGCAAAGATTGATTGGGGAGTATTCTTGATGGCATAGGCCCGGTATGAAATTGACTTCCAACGCTATTTCGCTGTGCACAAATCAGTTAGATTGCCATGAGGGCTGTATTTCTCCTATTTCATCTAACTTGGAGGACTGGAAGCTGAATTTTTCCACAATCAGATGAGGAGGCCGTGCGTTTCCATTGAATTTCACATACCCTCGCCTCCCAGAAGATAGTCTCATCCAGCCTGGACTTGACGACAGTTTCGACCTCGCCTGAACTGGTCGCCTCCGCAACCCCAGCGGGACTCGAATCTGGTGGGGCGAGTGCAGCGTTTAGCCAGACTCACACGAGTTCCCTGGAGTCACAGAGCAGATGAAAATTTCAAGGAAGACCGGGCATTTTTTCATATCTTATTTATGTGGTTGGACTGTTGACGGAATCAAGTTGCATTTGCTATAGCATGTGTGTGTGTGTGTGTAAAATTTAATGTGAACATGAGGCCTACTTAAATGATCGTGGGAAAATTCTTCTATAAGTCCTACAACGAAATAGGACAAATACAACTCATATGGGATCTATTGTAGGTCTCGAAGACCTATTCATGAAAATAAGGTTAAAGTGTAGACGACCCTATGAATGCCCTAAAGTGAAAGACGATTTCCTGTCAGGTCGGCTGTGCAAGGAACTGGCGAAGGAATCCCTTCATCGCATATTTTCAAAGGCTACCAAATGAACCTTTAAGAAGCATTTATAAAACCGAATTCTTGCCATGATTGGGATAATTTTAGCCAAATTGAATGTGAATATGTAAATAAGGCTGAACTGAAAATGAATTAATAAACTGGAATAACAAGATGGCGTAATCAATGATTTGGTCACAATCTCTTTTGTTGATTTAAGTCTAGTCGACATCATTTTCCCGGAATTGTTGAGCTTTCAAAGCGACTTCGTATCGAATCTCTGGTAATAGATAAAAAAGTTTATTACTAGATCTTGCATAAGAACGGTATTCACTCTAGGTCACGCTAGGTGTGAGGTCTGATGAGTGAATTTCCCAAAAATGAAATATTTAGACCTCAGAACGCCAATAAATTGTACTTATCC